GTGTAGTACAGCTACAGTGTGTGTCCAGCGGTTGGGGACCAGGCTGCAGATCAAAACATTTCATTTCAATGGTAAAAACAAATGCTAATGCTGCCGTCAGCGGTAATCAAACGTGAAGTCCACGCAGCATTGTCCTCATGTTGACGTGTAAATGAGACTTTATATGTCTGACAGTCTGGCACTAACAGCGCATTTGCATTGCCAAGCCTCTAAACACAAGGAGAATCAGGTGCAGACCACTCCTCACTCGCATGAATGAGGGTCCGTAGACCTGAAAGGACCGCCTTTATGATGCTAATTAAGCTGATCAACTGGCTTATTGACTGCAAAAAGAAGCTCAGCAGCAGGCAGCCAACAAAGATACACATGGCGGCCATCTTGGCTGGGGGCTTGTGCAGGCGTTACATGTCTATCTCTGGCAGAGGAGGACGAGTGGGGGGAGGAGGAGGAGGAGGAGGAGGAGGGGGAGGAGGAGGAGGAGGAGGATGGGATGCCGTCCAGTCCTTAACCTTGCATCCTTGTTGATCAACTGGTGGACTGTGGACCAAGCAGCTGTACCAGTGCTGACGCGTGGAGGTTTTCCTCACACTCCTCTCCATGTCTCCCAGTTCCCTAAAGTGGCAGACAGTTGTGTGTGCGTGCAGACATACCACCGAGAGCTACCATGGCAACGGCTGCCTCGGTCGACGTCTGAGAGAAAGACGGGATCAGTGGGAACCCAGTGGAGTGGGGGGGGGGGGGGGGGCGGGGGGGGGGGGGGGGGGGGGGGGTTCACAGGGGTGGAAGAGGATGTGGCTTTTGCCGTTGTTTTTGTTTGCCTTATCATCTCTGGCATGTTTATGTAAGATGACTCTGACTCCCAAAATGTATGCGGCGGAGACTCTTGACCTCGGCACGACCACGGCGGTTTCCTTTTAACCTTTGCCCTCAGCGCCTCCTGCTCACACACTGTTTTCTCTTGGCTGTTCCTGCAGCGTTCACCTCCTTCCTCCCGTTCGGAGCGCTGGCATCTCTTTGCAATGCCAAGGTGATATTTGGCATTAAACCCGTGGCTCCTGGCTCCCCGTCTGACGGTAGACCTTTGTGGTGAAGCAAGAAAAGAAAAAAAATATGAGAAGTGAAGTACAATGAAACAAAGAGAGGGAGAAGGTGTTGACGTGTGTGCGTGTGTGTGTGTGTGTGTGTGTGTGTGAGACAGGGGCATGCAGTAATAGGGTAGCATGTTCCCGTTGGCAACAGCGGTGCAGTATTACTAGGTCAGTGTGCCATCATTTCATTCACCAGTCCTACAGACTGCTCTTCCTTCTCTGCTTTTCTGCTTATTGTTACTCACACACACACACACACACACACACACACACACACACAGCGGTTATAAATCTCTGTGTTCAGATTGAAAAGAGAAGCTACTGCAAACACACAGATGTGTTGTTTAAGTTTTCGTTCTACTGGAATCTAACCGGCATCCTTTTTTTGCCAGTTTGGTTTAATTAGACAATAGAGAATATTCTATTCTATTCTATTCTATTCTGTTCTGTTCTATTCTGTCCTATTCTGTTCTATTCTGTCCTATTCTGTTCTATTCTGTGCTATTCTGTTCTATTCTGTGCTATTCTGTTCTATTCTGTGCTATTCTGTTCTATTCTGTGCTATTCTGTTCTATTCTGTGCTATTCTGTTCTATTCTGTGCTATTCTGTTCTATTCTGTGCTATTCTGTTCTATTCTGTCCTATTCTGTTCTATTCTGTTCTAGTCTATTCTGTTCTGTTCTGTTCTGTTCTGTTCTATTCTATTCTATTCTATTCTGTTCTGTGCTGTTCTGTTCTATTCTTTTCTGTTCTATTCTATTCGGTTCTGTTCTATTCTGTCCTATTCTGTTCTATTCTGTCCTATTCTGTTCTATTCTGTCCTATTCTGTTCTATTCTGTGCTATTCTGTTCTATTCTGTGCTATTCTGTTCTATTCTGTGCTATTCTGTTCTATTCTGTGCTATTCTGTTCTATTCTGTTCTAGTCTATTCTGTTCTGTTCTATTCTGTCCTATTC